GTGCCATCTTAGTAGATTTAAAATGATCTAATATCCGGAAAAATCTCAAATCTGGGATCGCCGAAGTCCCGACGAGTCCAGACCTCGGACTTTGTACTATATATATATATATATATATAATACGGAATGTATATTTTCAGTTAAACTTCTACCCAATAACTTTAGTAATTCATGAAAGTTAATTTTGCGTCTAGTTAATTCAGGAAAATTAGTTTCAATTAGTTGTTTTCAGCTTTAAAAATATTAAAAAATTTTTAATTAGTTAGTTATTTTCAACTAATAATTGTATCGCCATTAGCAAAAATTATGCATTACTATCAACAACATAGGTTTAAACCAAATACTTAATTGTCTATTGAAGCTTCAAAACGTATTTCCGAACTTCACTTTTTCTCGGCTAGCGTTACCGAATTTGCCCTTGGCGACCTAAAATCGAAATGGAGCCAACAGATTTCCCGCGAAATCGATAACAGACCCTCTGCAGAAATAAACTCATAATCCCGATATCCCATACATATAGTATGTGCAAAAGAGAATAAACTCCGTAGAAGGTGATAAAAAATTAATTTATGGCTTAATTGAAACAAACACAGAAATTAAGCTAAGCAAAACCGTGTAAAAACAAATTGAAATGATAAAACGAAACTTAATTTTCATGTGAATTTTCAGCGCTGACTCTCCCATTCTAGAAATTTCAATTTGTTTCAGACAAAGACCACATTTAAGGATTGCCATCCATCAATATCCAGTCTTTGTAGTCAGCTTGATGAAGCCACAGTTTATTGAAAATGCACTTTCCAGGCATCTCGTTCCTATTGGCGTCGGAAGGGTTGTGGCCTTCCAGGTTGGGATTGCTCTAATTTTGGCAAATATTTTCAGAATCCCCCCCCCTTTTTTTTTCTCGAGCACCTTCATCATCACTTTCGCCTCTTAAAGAACTTCCGGCTTCACGCTTTCGTCACAATCTGCCTAAATTTATGGATAACACCTGTTTCGAAAGATTGGGTGAATAGCCAATCAGACACCGATACTTTCGTTCGGGTAGCTAATTGTTTTTTTTTTTTTTTTTTTTTTTTTTTTATCGTTTGCAACGCAAATCCGCCAACAGATTGGTTAAGAGCCGTGTAATTTTAATTCCATATTCATGAGAAATCGTAATTCACACTTAGAATGGCAATCATTAGAAATGATAAGAAATGTCAAATGAGCAAAATTAAGGACCGTTTATTCATTTTGGCCAAAATTAAGGACTTTTAAGGACCAAAAATCATTTTTGAAAAAAATTAAGGACTTTACTTTTAAAGGACCAAAATCATTTTTTGAAAAATAAGGACTTTTTAAGGACTGTAGCATTCAGTTTCTTTCTTCAACACATTTCCTTTCCATTTTAGAATTTTTGGATTTAATTAAGGATTTCTGTTGTTCTAAAAAGCACTAAATCATTTAGAATGCATAGAAAAAGGCGGCTAATTTTATTTCTTTAGTAATATGAACATTCAGAAGAAATATGAAATACATATGGTAAAGGCCGGTTACAGAGCTGGTGTTGCAGAACTTTTAGAACTTAGTGACACACAGAAAAAAATTCTAGAAATGGCAAAACTTTTAGAATTTAGTGCAGGCATTGGAAGCAGAATTTATGATCCACAGAGATGCATCAGGTCGGAAAATGCCAAGCACCAGCTCTGTGTACGGTGCATTTCGACATATTAGATAAATCTTTTAAAATGTAAGTTTTCAATTTTTTTATTAATAAAAAAATCCCTTTCTATAATGCCTGCTCATGTGATAAGATTAGAAGAATTTTTGATATTTTCCATGCTTTTGTCTAGTGAAGAGTGGAGAAATTAAAGAGAAGATAGAAAGTGACGTCTAGGGAAAAGATGAGAAATAAAGGGATGTTAAGAAAAAGATTCTAGTATCAGAAGTAAAACATTCAAATATTATGTTTTCATTTTGTTCTTCCAGACATTCTCCAAAAAGTAAGAAATTCATTGCAAACTTTCTGTAAAATACATCCATTACATGTTGATACCAGAGACATTTTTCATTTTGTCACACATTTCTCGAACATTCTACAATCCTGTTGCTATAAATCTTGCCTTCAAAACCTTCTAAACTTTCCAAGCTGCAATGTCCAAAATCCTAAAGAAAAATTATCCCTACCAATTCTGTAACAGCAAAAAGCCAGAAATATTTAGGGAAAATAAAATTAATTTCATAAAGGAAACTGATGCATATTCTGAGAATTTTTAATATTCTGAGACAATTACATGGGAAAAACTCTTACTATGAAAAAAATAAAAAAACATTTTTAATTAATTACATAGCTAAATTTGCTTTTGCTAACAGCTGTTTTGTAAATTGTGCTTAATTTTTCAGATTCAAAATATTGTATAGTAAGTTGCCAAAATGAAACTTAATAATATGACAGTGAAAATAAAAATGTTTTATTTTAATTATTTTTTAAATATAATTTTAATATATTACCATCATTTTAATGAAATTTATCAATGTTATGAGGTTTAAAAAAATCGTCAAAAAATTCTCAGATCTTGGAATTAAAAATTTTCTATAGAAATTGATCTGGAAATCGGCAAAATGTTGATAAGTCGAAAAAATGTACAATTGTTTAATAAAAGAATTCATATTCCTAAAAGTGAAAAGTTGTTTAAGAGCTCTTTATTAGAAAAAATGAATTTCAAAATGCTTATGTTTCACTTCTTGCTTAGAAACTCCAAGTGTCCCATCATTTATATTATATTAGAAATAAAATTATAACCCATGAACACATTCAAAAGATAACCATATATGTCAATGAATTGCCAAAAATATTCCTCCAAAATGGTAATTCACACTCAAAATGGCAGTCTGAAAAACAGACAGAAATTTCAGATGATTAAAATTAAGGACCTCCTGCTGATTTTGGCCAAAATTAAGGACTTTTAAGGACCAAAAACTGATTCCAAAAAATCTAAGGACTATTAAGGACTGTATCAACCCTGTTCAGAGAATGAGCAAAATGTGAAGAAAATTCATTCTTTCAACAGCTGATAGACATGTAATAACTCAGCAACTTTCAAACATGCTCAGGATAAGCAAAGAAAGCTGTTGGTTAATTTTAATTGAAAATGAAGAAAGTTTCTGCTTGATTTCTCCCCAGACTTTTATAGAACAGCAAACAAAAGACAGATCTTATACAGCACTGTCTTTATAACAATATCTTTCTAAGCATTCATTTGTAATTATAAATGACCCATCATATTCTTCCGCCTTATTGCCAGCTGATGTTTTCCTTTTTCTGCAGCTTAAGATGATCAAGAAAAGACAGAGATTTTAAAATCTTTCAGATATTAAATCAAATGTGTATTTTGTGACAGAATTGTTCCACAGCCTATAAACTGTGTTTTGATAAACTGAAGAATCAATGTAAAATTGTATAGACTCCTCTGGTATTATTTTGAAGAAATAAATTTATTTTAAGGTTGGTAATCTTTTTCTTATTTATAAGAAATTATCCAATTACTTTATAGATGCACCTTGTTATATCTAGTATTCTAAAAATTATATTTATATTATTAGCAATTGCTGCATGAAGTTGTTGATACTCTTTTCCCAAAGAAAAATATCCTTCATCCTAACTTCAACAAAGAACAAATATTATAAAGCTATGCCACGTTTTTTACTTCAGTTCTATAATAATAATACTTTTTTTTAAATATCTTTATTTCACAATTTGACTTGTGCAAATTGCTTTATTTATTTGTTTTTGACAATAATACATTAGATTAGATGTTAACACATCAATATCATAGAACTACAACAATTCACATTTAGTTAAAACAGTAATACGTGTAGCAATTAGAGTATGCAATAAAAATACACTGTTCCAGAAATATACAGTTAAGCAACTGCTTGTATATTTAGCACTTTTCAGCCTAAATGGGCTATTGGTCTCGAAATGGCATTTTGCGTCGAATCACTAAAAACAGCTGTAACACATTGCAAATTGTTGCCACCAAATATTTTTGCACTGTATTATATTCAAAGAAATTAAACAACGAAGAATCAACATTAATGTATGTGTATTTCTTGCACTGTGAAAAAACAACGGTACCTAGAGCCATCAAAATTTGAATAACACAGTCCTCTACCCCTCTACATGGTCCCCTACAGTCCTCTACATAGACACCTGTAAAACCTAATTTGAAATTTGTTTCATTGTCTATTTTATATTTTCTAAAACTTTAATGAATTTTTGATTAAAAACTCAACAACACAAGGCAAGTGGGAATAATCTGAAAGCTTTCAAATTTTATTTTATTATTATTATTTTAGTTACATTTATATGGGAAAAATTTTATTTTATTAGATGGTGATAATGGGTATTATTTTTATTTTAACATAGAAGCAAATTTACCGTGTTATTTCCCCACTTGTTAATATTTCTATAATGTACGATTAGTAGAATTTGGAGTTGCTACAATTCCTGTAGTCTTGTAATTCTGATTATTTCCCAGGGAATTTAAATGCAACATTAGAAAAACTCCTATATGGCAGTTTTTTCCTTTTTGATATAAAATTATGGTGTGAACTAAGCAAACTGCCTTTGAGCTGCTATCACTTGCACAACATATGTTATTTAACATTACCGCTTATCACTATAACAAACTAAATTATTTAAAATCAAATATATGTATTTCTTTTTAAATTCTGTGCTCATACTATATTTTATCTTTAACAATTACAGCAGTTTATTGTTTATCAATATAAAAATTGAACTATTTAAAATAATAAGTTTCTTTATAAATATTAGTAATTATATATTAACGATCATTCTAGAGTTACTGACAGGTTTTATAAGCATTTGAATCATATAGTATATCTAACAAAAAATGTTTCTAATTCCACATGATTTTTGTAAGAGATTAATAGTTTGTCTACATAAATTGGTCTTGTGCTTGCTGTGAGTAACATGTTTTTTTAGCTAAATGACTTACTTATAAACTCTTTTTACTGGCTTTGGTTTCATTTTAGGTTTAAGCTCCTCAACCGCTTGGATGAAGTCTTCTTTAGCCTACAAGAGAAGAAAATAAAATAAATGCATTGAAAAGAATTATTTAACTATATCTGAAACAGATAATATGATTATATATATATATATAATTTTATATATATACCTGTTCAATTTTCAATGATCGCAATAATGCAAGATGTTCTTCTCTGTTCTTTAAGGCTAACCGTTCTATTTCACTCACACCACTCCACTGGAAGAAAAATTACTTAAAAATTTTTTTTTAATAATTAATTCAACTTAACAATATGTTTTGAAATCTGAAAACTCACCAGGTTTACCTTCTAAATAGGGTAAAAAAAGATGAAGGCCTCCCCCCCATATCAAGTAAATAATTTAAAAGACCTTGCTCAAAAAAATTTTAAATGTTAGAAAAACAAGCATTAAATCAGATGACTGAAAACCAGTAGTTACTAATCTTTCTGAATCAAATTTGTTTTTATTGCTGTTTCATTATCAAGAAATAGATATATATTTCATAATGAAAATTGATAAAATATATAAAAGTGAATTGTGAAATCAATCCAAGAGATGACTTTTAAGTGTTTATGCTTAATGGTGAATAATGTGAAATGAAATTTGCATTTTATAAAAAAAATCCCTAAAATTGATTAAATTGCTAAATATGGAAATGTTACAGCTTTAAATAAAAAATATAAAAATTCAGCAATTCTAAGTGAACTTTCGCCATTCCATAAAAAAATCTGTTACTGTATTAACACTGATGCTAACAATATTCTAAAATATTTTTAAAACATGAAATGTAAAATTTCGGTACTTTCTCATTAACTGCACCTGCACCAAAAAGTCACAAATTCATTGCTAACTAATTCTTCATCAAACTAAAATGCAAAGGCAAGAGATAGTTTTATAATTGGTGGCAAATTAAGTATTCAATCAATAAAATTAAAAAAGCTAGAAATATCAGTAATGAAAAATAGCTTTTGTAAGAAATACTTCTGCATTTTTTTTTTCGGAAGGGGGGTGCACTGGTGTGCTTTTCATGTACATAGCAATCTGTTTCTGCTGAATGCACAAACTTGGCTGCATACACAATTTCAGGACACTGCCAATAAATGAACAGTTGTTGTAAACAAAATACAGCTATCTTCAAGCAATTTCCAAATCATAACACTTGTCTTTCAGTTTTTCCTACTACATCTCCATGCAAATTATTTTTCCTTCAATTGGCAAATCCCCTTATATCATTCATCATGAGGAAAAGAGACACACCCAATGTAACAAACTCCCCCACCCCCCGCAAAAAAAGAGGGAAAAGCACACCAATCAGAAAAATGATAATTGAATTTTAAAAGTGCCAAAACGTAAATATAGGATTGTGATGTAAATACTTTTTAGCACCTTGCAAATTACTGCATTGCCTTATGATTACTTTCTCACAACTTTTTAATGGCATTCCAGATAATAAGAACCAACGTTTTATTATATGATATTATAAAATTTTTTAATCAGTTTTATTACTATAATTATTTTAATAGTCCGATATCTAAATTATAATTTTATCTGAACTACAGATTACACCACATACTCTTTCAATTTCCTCAACAGGATATATGTCCAGCAAAATAAAAGTCATATTTATAAAAAAAATAAATACCTAGCAATATTTTTAACTTAGATTCCTATTACTTCATTTATATGATTAATATGAAGATAAAAAGTTTAAAAAGGACCGTTTAAAACATTATACAGTTAAACACATTGAAATGATGGGCTTAAAAATGAGTAATTTTCATTTCACATAAAAATAATCTAATTTAGAAGCTCAAGTAAGTTTAGGAAAAGTTCATGTATTTATTATTCTAAATAAACGTATGCATTCATAATTGAATCTGCATTCTAATATTTAAAGAAATGTGCTTGAATTCTAAAAATGGAAGAACTAACTGCTTTTAAAGAATTCCTCCCATAACAATCTCTTTCAGTGACAGTACTAGATGCTGAGGCCCAAATATAAACTTAAAAGTAAATTCTTCATTAGTAATACTTTACAATAACCATTATCGAAAGTAATATAATAGAAAACCAAAAATTCATGTCCAAAAGCAGCCAAGCAGTTAAGAGCACTACATTATTGATGGTTCAATTTGGTATCAGGTATAAAGGCTGGCTACAGAGATTTTTTTGTTACATTACTCACATATATTTTAAATTTCCTTTAAGAAGTGCTCTATAAGGCTTTGCTCAGACAAGGGCTTTGCAGTCAGAAGAGGCTTCATTTTGTCAAAATGTAGTATAATGATATTCTAACTCTTTGAATAGATGCCAAATTGGTACAAGAACTGACCAATCACAATGAAAGAAACAAACTGACATTTAGTTGACAATTTTGCAAAGTAAACCGTATATTTATGCATACATTAATTTACCTTCCTTGATTGCTTTAGCTTAAATCCTCTTCTGTAGGCATGAATGGATTCACAGACGTTTGTGCCTTAAGTTAGCTAAGTTCAAAGTATATTTCGTAAATAACTAGCCAAGTGATAGTTAGTATGTAAGCATCACATTTATTTTTGAAGAAAAGGCCATTAGTTAAATAATGATTGACAATAATGATGACTAGATCACTCTATGAATGGTCTCAAAGGCAGATACTCCTCTTTTGTTTCATCACATTAAAAAAAAAATCTAACCTAACAAGAAAGCTACAATTTGAGACCACTGGTAATGTAGATGTTACAATTTTGTAAATTTCAAGTTATAAAAGAAAAATTTTAAATCTAAACTGGAAATAAATAAATCAAAGAAAACACATGAAAGAAACCCCTCTGATAATTTTTATAGAGCACAGCAACAAATATATAAAAAGAAAATTTGACGATAAAAGCATATCAAATGTATATAAAAAAATTCCTTTATACATTTTCCAGATATCTGTATAATATAATACAGTATGTTCTAGTTTGAGTATGATTTTATACATTTATAAACATGGCACATGTTCATTTCCTCTAATCGGAATATATAAACACAAATTTTTATAAACTGGTAATACTTTTCATGATTTCTGCATGTACTCCAGCAAACCAATAATTTCCTCATGACTCTGCTCTAGAATATATGGCAACCCTAGAAATTAATTATCTTGGATCACACTGGTGGTGGCGTATACCAAGTGCATTTAGCTGTAAACTTTTATTGTTGAAGAAAAGGTACTCACTGGTTTTAAGTCTTTATTCCCCTTTTTTCCTATAAAAGACAAGCTGGATTAAATTATGATATAATTTATTAATAATATATACAGATTAGAGTATAGAATAAATTGGAGATATGTAAACATATGTTCCACTTCAAACTATTTTGTTAAATAAGTTTCTACCTCATACAAAAAGGTGCATTCACCTTAACAACAGATGGATATAATCCTATTTAACCCTTTCCGGCACGCTATCTTTTAAGTTGGAATTTGACCCTCCTCAAAAAAAAAAAAAAAAAAAAAAAAAAAAAAGGTAGGCAATCTAATCAGAACCTAGAGAAGTATACAGGTAAAAGTTTTGTGAAAATACAATTTATCGTTTTAATTATGTTGGTGTGCCCGTAGTGGGCACACCAACAGACTATACCTCCCTAAAAAACTCTTCTTGGTTATATGATGATTACATGTGTATGAATGTATAAAAAGTAACTTGGGTATATATTTACATTTCATATTTACACTTTCGTCTATTTTTTCATGGTGGTACTTTTTGAAGAAAGTGACATGAACTTTGAAAAACCAAAACCCAGTACATGCATGTTTTGCACATGTACTGGGATTCATATCAAATAAACTATCTGAAAGCAGCACTTTGAGTTATTCAGAGATGGTCAGCACTCTCCGATTCATTTAGAAAATAATTAAAAATCCGAGAAAAATAAACTAATATTGTATCTACAATTGGAAATTACAAACTATATAAAAAAAAAATTAAATAAACGCCTACAACTCAAAACTACAAAATGTAGCACTAACAAAACTCCTTTGAACGAAAGCAAAAGAGATCTGTGCTAGTGAAAAACCAAACAGCTTACTGATAAAATTACCCAACCTTCAGAAAATCACACCAAGAATTTATTAGTTGATAACCAAACCTCCCTTCAAGAAAAAAGAAAAAAAGAGAAAAACATGAAATGAAACAGATATGTGGACCCACCTTTCTATAGTTACTGGAAAGCTGCACAAAAACAAAGATACAGTTGTTGGTCGGGTCGTAGTATCTCAGTGAGCCCACTCTGGGCACACCTGATGTTTGCTGTTCCATTTTAGGGAATATGTAAAAATTTAAAATTATTATACAATAAGCAGATTAGCATACAGCCAAGAAAGTAACACAGAAATTTCTTTTCAAACAATTCTTTTTATATCCTAAAAAAAAAAAAAAAAAAAAAAAAATGGAAGATTTCTTTGAAAACTAAACATGGCTAAAATATATCAACTGATTTATGTTATGCTACCATCTAGTATAAATAAAGAAGGTTTAGAGTAACCTATAGACCCTTTTTCATTCAATTTTTCTGTGCATACAGAAGGAAATTTTTAGGTGTGCCCATACCAGGCACACCGTGCCACGAAGGGTTAAAAGCAGTGCAATCAATATCGGTGCATGGTATGTCTCCATGTGCCCTGCAAAATGCCACTATTGCTATAGAATAGTAGAAAATGGAAAGTTCCCGTCATTTAATTTTTGAAATAATCAATAATTCTTACTTGACATTTTGCAAATAAACTTATATCAAGATAAAATCTTCTAGTTAAATTTAAAATATTTAATTCCCACCTTAATAATTGCACATTTTTGCTGATTAAAAATATGAAGATTAGATTTGAATTTTATTTTGTTTCTTTCTTGTTCTGAGTATGCACTTTAATATGCCGAAATGATTTTCACAGTTTACATAAATGCTGAGGATGTTTTCATCCTTAAACAATACGGTACTCACTGGTTTCCATTCTTCATACACCTCTTCTTCTTCCTACAAAAAGGTTAACCCAAATTAAAAAAATTATAGAATATAGTACAAAACTAGCACAGACTAAAATATACCGTAGTAGTGAAAGATTTTGGCTTTATTTGTTTCACAAACATGAACTGTTATAGCTCTTTAGGTACTTACATCTTATAACAACTACCTTAATGGAAATAGCTAAATTTTCCCACAAAACCTGTTGAACTCTCTACCATGTGACTTCATTGCCTTTTATGAGCACATTGTGATATTTTGTTTTAATTTTAAAATATAGACTTTTGGAATCTAGAATCAATGAAAGAAAACTGTGGTAAAATTTCTGCAGAAATACAGAATTTTACAGAACATCAAGCACATGCATTTAGTAGATGACTCGTTGCAGAGATTTGGCCGATGTCGAGGCTCTGCAATTCTATGAACTTTTTAAGCGAGACAGTGTACTTGGAGAAAGCGCAGGAAAAAATCGCAGAAAGATTTGGTGACAAATGTAAGTACTTTTATAAGTATTATGCAATATTTATTTAATAATCACAATTTGTATTTTAATTTGCTAAAATATGCTTTCATTTCATATGTTGCCAACTTATGATAAATATTGATAGTTTGGGATCTTTTTAAAAATATAGTCATGTAAACCACCAATGTGCATCCTATTGGATATTACCGATGTTATCTTTCATCTGTAAAAAATTGCTAAACTGCACCAAGGTGGTTGTGTTAATATGCAAGTACCACCACAAGGCATTCAAAAGTACATAAAGACAAAATGTTTAATCTTTGAAGAAAATGTTACTCACTGGATCACAATCTTCATCCATCTCTTTTTCTGCCTAAAAAAAAAAAAAAAAAAAAAAAAAAATAAGTCAATTTTTGAATCTGCATCAGAAGTTGCATCAAATATCAAAGATATCTGGTACTGCAGTATCTAGTGACTGTCTGGCAATTAACAAGGCATGTCTCACCTCTTCTTCTGACAGGTTACTAGATTTAAGGTAGTTGAATGTTTGCCATGAAGCCCCAAGGCACTAGGGTTTTTTTTTTTAAATTTTTTTATATACACTGGTTATCATAAATTAAGAAAAAACTACAAAAATAGCAATAGCTCACTCAAAAATAAGCCAAACCATGTAAAATTTGAATATGTTGGCAAGTAAGAGTAGCGGAATAAAACTGCAATATGCAAATTAGTGGTGCTGCAGTCAGAATACGTCATCTGCTAGGAGCATAAAAGTCCATGTTTGAGAGCAAGCCCACATATTTCACTGTGATAGTGACATCAGAAATCTGAGATAGCCAATTTGTAACAATGACCTCCAGGCATCATTTGCCTGCAAAACTACGATGGAGAGCCAATGGGACACTAGAGGCAGGACAAAGTCAAACAAAAGTTGCCAGATGATTAATGTGAGTCCTTCTGTGGTTCATAGACTTTGGAGGCAATTTCAAACCACAGATTCGGCATCTAGAAGGTTCAGCCAAGGACGGCCAACTGCTACGATGAGCGCCGATGGCCCATATTTGACATTATGTGCACGCAGGAATGGAACCGGTACTCCGACTCTTCTTAGATCCTCCCTTGCTGCAACCACTGGAAGGTTAGTGTCAACGTCAACTATGCATAGAAGGCTTCACAAAGGTAGTCTGTATGCGAGATAACCAGCCATTTGCGTGCCGCTCACGTCATGCCATAGGAGAGACCATTTGCAGTAGGCACGACAACATGTCCACAGGACGCCTGATCAATGGAGGGCGGTTCTCTTTACGGATGAGTCTAGGTTTAATCTAGAAAGTGACAGCAGGTGCTATTTGATATGTAGAGAACCTGGAACCCATTACTGTTTTCACTAGATGGTGCACGACGAAATGCTATGACTTTATTTTTTTGTTAGTAACTTTTGGCAACGATAACGAACAGTTAGTTTGGAAACAGAAGAGATGTTAGATGTTGGCTGTAATTTCGATTTAGTGTTTCTGTATATCTTAACGTTGAATTATTATGAAATTAAAAGTTTTCTTTTTTTTTTTTCTTTTCTCAAGATGTAGCATTTTATTGAACATATTTCCGAAAATAGGAATTGGCAAGCTCAAAATCAGGACAAGAAATATTTTTAAAAGGAAAAAAGGTTAAGTGAAACCTTTTTTCTTAATGTTAAAACTTAGAATTTATCCTATAGGCCACTAATCAGAAAAATGACAACTGAATTTTAAAAGTGCCAATACATAAATACTTTTCAGCACCATCATGGGTAATTTGCAAATTACTGTATTACCTTATGAATACTTTCTCACAACTTTTCAGTGGCGTTCCAGATAATAAGGAACAATGTTTTATTATATGATGTTATAAAATTTTTTTATCAGTTTTATTACTATAATTATTTTAATAGTCCGATATCTAAATTATAATTTTATCTGAACTACAGATTATCATCCGTCAAACATCCGTGAAAGAGATACAAACAGAAGAGGCAGCGTCTGTGTTTGGGGTGGCATCTCTTTGGGTGGACGCACAAACCTCCATGTCTTTCCAAGGGAAACTGTGAATGCTCCGGTTTATAGAGATGACATCCTTCATGCTTATGTGCACCCATATGCCGGGGCAATAGGTGATGCTTTCCTATTAACAGGACGACAACGCAAGACCACACAAGGCTCGTATCATAGATGATTATCTTCAATAGGAAAAAATTATGCGCATGGAGTGACCAGCTCGATCCCCGGACTTGAATCCTATCAATCACGTTTGGGATGCTTTAGGGAGATGTCTAGCTGCTCTCAATCCACCCCCTCAGACCCTTGCCACGCTTGCAACTCCTTTGCAAGAGTAATGGCTCTCGCTTCCTATGGAACTAATAGAGCGTATAAATGAAAGCATCACACATCGCTGTATGAGCTGCATTGCTTTTAGAGGCGACCATATTCCATATTGAAGGTACCTTTCCTATAGCAAACTGACACCTTCGATTTGTTCATTTTATACATGTGCTAATTTCTATACTACCATAATTGCCTGGTAATTAGTTTTTATGTTATTTGATACCTTACTATGTGTTGTATATTGTGGGTACGTTTCATAAAATTACACATGTAATTTGTAAGTAATCGTGATTTTTCCTTAATTTATGATAACCAGTGTATATATATATATGTTGTAGAATTAATATTCTGCTCTGAGTTAAATTACACACTTTATAATGTTATTTTAATAAACATTCAGTTTTATTTTGTCAAATGGAG